GAAATCCGATCCCGGTTTTCCGAACAAACCGGAACCATCCAGTTTAAACCGACACAATTATAACCGGAAACCGGATATCATCTAACCCAATCCAGTCTGCGTTCAGAGTCTACGAGCAAAAAACCGCCCCGGTCCCAGTCCAATTTGGTCCAGTTTTAACCGGAAACTGGATAACTGCCCCCATAGCCCATATTCCACAGCCCACCCCTAAAGGCCAAAGCCCAGCCCACATCCCCCACAACCCTAAAAGTCGGTCACCTCCACGCTCCAACACTCCGCCGCACAACCTTCTTCCTTGTTCCCTCTTCCTCCCTTCTGCCAACTCACCCTCTGGCCGACGAACGGTTAGTCGAGCTCAGCCCTCGTTCTCTCTACTCTGCCTCCGTCCGCCTCACCCTCTGCCTAACAAAATCTCAGTCGAGACAAGCCCTTGTTCTCTCTGCACTCAAAAGTCAGACCACCTCACCCTCTAGCCGATGAACGCTCAATCGGAGGAGGGAACATCTCAGCCAAGCCTCGATTCGCGTCTCTCCTGACATGCAAGGACCTAGATACTCCCGACATGGTACCATCCAGCGGATCTACGGCGCCAGTCAGCAAGTTCCTCACCGAGATCTAAACTTTGATGTCGAATTGACGCTGAGGAAGTCAGCGACAAAGGCGATGATTTTGGATTCGCTAGAATCCGATCTCCCATCCGAGAGGAGAGGCTAAGGTGCACCCATCTTCCTTCTCCTCTAACTCTTCTTTGTCGGTGTTGACATATGAAACTCAGCCAACATTACTTTGCCGGCATCGATGAGAAATCAGGAGAAGAATATGTTGGGTCAATTTTGATCACAAAGAGGGAGAAGAATAATCGCAAAGGGAAGAATTATGGATTGTGTTTCAATAAATAAAAATTTAGAGATTGTGCATTTGTGGATTGTGCAGGTGGGGGTGGGGCTTTGGGAGATGGTTTTTTTTTATTTCATTCAAACGGTAGCGTTTTTGGGAGGATCCAAGTTTACCCAGTTTTTGGTTGAAACCGGACCGGATTGAATCTCATCCAGTCCGGTCACGGTTGAAACCGGGTACTCATCCAATTCCGTCTTCGGTTGTGCTACAAGTCAAAACGGTGCAAAAAACTGGGTTAATCCGGTCCGGTTTTAACCGGACCGGACTGTTTCCCACCCCTACCCATAACCATACCAAAATCAAATACAGAAGACACAAAGGAGCAAGGAGACAGCAGGAACGACAAAAAGCTCAGGAACCTAAAGAAGCAAAATCATCCGAAAACGGCAAACAATAAGGTTGGTGGAAAAATAACCCAAATACTATCATTCATCATCATCTTTTTATAATCTCTAGTACTGGCTTCCTTCCTTCGACAAATTAGTTACAAACATCTAAACTCAAATCATTCCAAATTACCCCCAAACATCTAAATCCACCTATTTCCCGTATCGACAAAACCAACCCTTTACTCACCACCATGAACAACCCAAATCCCACGATTCAAACCCACCATACCCAACACAATATACCCATTTTCACAGTTAGACACCATTATCCAGAACTTGCAGATATGTAAAAGCCATCATAATCATCACAAAGGATACAAATCACACCCAAACCACCTCAAACATTCGATTACAACCACAACTTACGAATTTCAACACAGACCATACACAATCACTAACACACATAATTACCATCCTCAAACCAATCACATAACCCCAAAACGACCCTTAGTCCCAAGGAAAAAATCCAAAACTACCACTGTTTAAAAAAAATTACAAAAATACCACTCATTCCCAACAATTTCCAAAAATGCCACCCTTTATTTAAAACCGCTCCTCTAAGTGGCGGTTAATAAACAAACCGCGCCTCTTGGCAGCGGTTTACACTATAACCACCTCGTCAGCCAGCGGTTCCATTTTCCAGATAAAACCGCTCCTCTAAGGAGCGGTTTATATGCAAACCCTACCACAAAACGCTTGAAGAGGAAGCGTTTTATTGTGGCATGATAAACCGCCCCTCCAGGGCGCGGTTTACCTTGTCCACACACAAACCGCTGCCTAAAGGTGCGGTTTGTTGTCGACAGCAGACATAAATCGCTACCCCAAGGCGCGGTTTGTGTCTGGTCACCCGACAGCAGACATGTCGGCATGTAGGGGGTGGGGTGATAGACCGTCATTTACACATGTTTTTACCCTCATACTTACACTGTTTGAGGTGTTGATTCTCGTGTTTTAGGCCGATTTCACGCTAGGTTGTGCTTGGTTGTGTTATTTCAGGTCCTAGTACGTGAATGAAGGCTTAGGAGCGAGTCTGGGGTCGATTGGACGAAGAACGGACGATTGGCGAGCTTTTGGAGGAGTGCACGGCCAGACCAGGAGGCTGCACGGCCGTGCACATGAGCCATTTGGCCGTGCGCCTCACGCCGAGGCCGTGCACGGGCACAATCCAGGCTTGCACGGCCGTGCGCCTGGCCGTGCAAGAAGGCTGAGCTCCAAATAAATGAAACGGGGCGTTTTGAGGGTGCACGGCCAGAATGGTGTGTTGCACGGCCGTGCACCTGCCCGTGCACCTCGGGGAAACCGGTTTTAGTGCCTAATCCGAGCCAAAAGTGGGAAAAATCGTGTTTTCAGAGCAAAAACAGAGCCCTAGAGAGAGAAAGTGCGAAGAACTCATCCTAGAAGCCGTCTTGGAGCTGGATTTCATCGAATCGAGCCTGGAGATCGTCATAGGAGTGAACATCATCGTCCCGGAGCAGATTATCCTCATCGTTATGAGTATGACTAATCCGATTCTTGTTTTCTCTTCTCTCTCTATGGAGTAGAACCCTTCTCTCACTTGGGTATGAAGAACCCTAGTTCCTTGTGTTAGGGATTTGATTGTAATGACTTGGGATGATATTATTGTTTGATTTTAATCGAATGACGCATGTTTCATGAATTGATTTGAGTCTGATCAGCTTGTCTCAATTTCTGCTTCAACCTGAGATAGATAGAATCTGATTAGGTTGTTAGAGCCTCTTCATTCGATAGTAGGAGATTGGCTATACGAGAGTTAGCCAGTTTACTGCTTTGTACTGGTGTTCTTGACGCCAGTAGTGGAGTTCTGTGTTCATAGCCTCAGCTTTCTATCCCGGTGAAGACTAGTCGTCTGCCGGGTAGTTAGACTGAGAGGGCTTGGTCAGCTTAAGAGATTCCAAGCTACTGTCGGATCTTCCGCAGTCTAATCAACAGTAAATCAACCCAGGGAATTGCAATTGAACCTAACCAAGGGGCTAGGGGGACTCAATCCCGAGTGACTCTTACCTGCTTTTGAAAACCGAACCATTTCCTGCTTTCTTACTGCTTTTGCTTTAAACAACAATCACTCGAATTAGTTTGCTAGATAATAGAGAATCACGAATTAAACTTGCCTGTTACTGCATTCCCGGACTGCGATTACACTTGGTCGCAGTTTGGTGTTGTGTTTTGGCGTGTCAAGTTTTTGGCGCCGTTGCCGGGGACCCCTCTAGGTTATTGGGGAAACGTGATAATTTGTTACTCTAGCTTTTATTTACTGCATTTTATCTCTTCCACCTGTGTGCCTTCACGGGTTGCTTCTACTGATTGTGTGCAGGTAGTGCATGACCCGTAGCCAGTCGGGAGATCTACTACCATTAGACCAGGAGCTTGAACGAACTTGTAGGAACTTCAAGCGGGCTCTAAAGGCGCGACTGGCTGCGGAGGAGGCGCTGTCACAGCTGCAGTTAGGAGAAGAAGAAGAAGGCGAGATGGGGGATCCGCAGAACAACGATCTGATCCCCGGGGAGCAGACCATGGGATCCTACTGGACCGCTAGGGCTGCGGACATGAGGTCACCTATTCAACACCCTCAGGTCCCAGCCAACAACTTTGAGGTGAGCACCTCCGTGATCACCATGCTGCGCGGTTCAGTAGTGTTCCGTGGTAAGGAGGGAGAGTGCCCTCGATCACATCCTCAGGCGATTCCACGAGCTCATCGATGGAATCAAGATCAACTGGGGTCCCAGCAGATGCCATCCAGCTGCGGTACTTCCCATTTCACTCTTGAGGGGCAGGCCAAGGAGTGGCTAGACACTCGACCTCCGGGCTCCATCACCACGTTCGCCAACCTGGCGGACAAGTTCCTCACCCGCTACCATCCTCCATCCAAGACAGCTGATCTCCAGAAGCAGATTACACACTTTTCTCAGGATGAGGATGAGACCATTAGGGATGCTTGGGAGAGGTACACCAGCCTCTTTCTCAGGTGTCCCAACCATGGTTTCAATGATGCGTTTAAGGTGGGCACTTTCTATCACGCCCTCTTCCCGGAGGACAAGCAGCTGATCGATTCGGTTTGTGGCGGGAACATGCTGACCAAAACCCCGCCACAGCTGAATCAACTCTTTGAGGAGATGGCGGAGAATGGTTATGACTGGGGCACTGCCAGGAGATCGAGACGAGCACCTGGAAGGGGTGTGCATGCTGTGGGCACCCAGTCATCTGATCTGGTGCAGGTGGTATCGAAGCTGGTTTCAGCTATCGATCGTTCTGGTTTGATTGCAGGTACCGGACAGCCGCAGGCGATGCACTGCCAGTGGTGTGAGAGCTCTCATCACACCGTGGAGGACTGTCAGGCTATGAGGGAGTCGTCCACTCCCCAGGAGCAGGTGGATTTCATCGGGAATGCCAGGCGCTTTGACCCCTACAGCAACACCTATAATGAGGGGTGGCGCCAGCATCCTAACTTTTCTTGGGCTGGGCCAAATCCCAGACCACCAGCTCCCCAGGGACCTCCCGGTTTCCAGAGGCCTCCATTCCAGCCCAGACAGGGGCAATT